TTTTTATGGCATTTTCCCCCTAAAATGTGGCTTTGGGGTGAATGGCTGCAGTGGGTTCAGGGTGAGAGAGGTCACTTCAGTCTCAGAAAGATGAGTATTTTGGAAAACGGCGCTCCACCCTGGCAAATGCCACAGTAGGTCAGGCGTGTGAAGACTCTGGGGGGCTTCGCAGGCGGGCGGGCGGTCCAGTGGTTACTACTCCGCCTTCCAGTGCAGGGGGCGCGGGTTTGCTCCCTGGTCAGGGAGCTAAGATCCCACATGCCCCTGGGTGGAAAAAACCAAAACATACAACAGAAGTAACATTGTAACAAATTCAACAAATATTTGAAAAATGGTCCACATCCAAAAAAAGAAATCTTAAAAAAAAGCAAAACTCTGAGGCTGTGACTCCTGCGTGTGACGCTAGCCCCCACACGCCCCCCCCCCCCCCCCCGCCCCCAGACAGCATCTTACCACAGTCTGTCCATCCGGGTCCGGAATTCCACGAGGAGGCGGCCGCTCCCCGTGTGCAAAAGGCAGCTGTAAAGCGGCACAGCGGGGGTGGGGGATGGTGTCTGCATTCCTGGTCACAGCACAGCTTCCCCCCGCCCGGAGCACCTGCTCAGAGCATCCTCACCAGGAGACGTGGGCTCCACCGCATCAGCACCCCACCCGGGGGCCCCAGGCCACACAACCGATGCTCCTTCTGGGGGCTGGGCCCCCTCTGGCCATGCATCCGGCTGGCTTCCTTCTCTTTGGGGGTCTCTGGCGGGCAGCTCTGCCCCTCACAGCCCAGCCCTTGGTGACCAGGCTCCGGAAAGGGCTGTAGGTTTTAGAGAATCTTCCACAGACACCAGAACGGGCCCTTTCAGAGCCTGAGGACACGACATCATCAAGCTGCAACACCAACCCACCTTCACCCACAAGCCTATGACCTTCCAGAAGCCGCGCAGGCGGCTCTGTTCTGCTCTTGGCCCACAGCCCTCAGGTGACAGGAGATGGTCTGACCCCTCAACAAAACCCAGCCTCGTCCAGAACATCACGATGTCCAGCAACTGGGACCAAAGCGCCGCTGTGGACAATCAGAGGCCTCCAGAGGCTTGAGGGCAAGGATACTGTTCAGAGCCGTCTTACTAGGAAAACAATGGATGATCATCAAGGAATATGACCAGCAAATGGTACTATATCCAGTATATGTAGTGAGTATGTAGTCAGTAGAAACCCCACTCTTGGTGGAGGGATAAATGAGGAGTTTGGGATTGACATATACACACTACTATATATAAAATAGACAAAAGACAATGAGAATAATACCAAAAGGTTTAAAAGGCATGTTGATAGTGAGAATTATGAGTGACTTTTTTTTCATAACTCTTGGTATCTTCAAATTGTCTATAATGAATATGTATATTTTTAGAATCAGAAAAATTATATGTATATACACATCTCTCTATAGATGTGTATATATATACAAGAATGTGTACGTGCGTATGTGTACATTTACATCTGTGTGCACGTGTATGTGTGCATCAGTGTGTATATAAAATAAAATGACTCAAGTTTTGGTTGGGCCCCAAGAAAGAATACTTGGTAGAAAAATATGGTCAAATGAAAGCTTTCTTATAATAGCCAGGCTTTTAGGCACAGAACTATGAAATGCAGGATCCATTTTGTTAAATCCCCGGCCTGATTTAGGTTGTAGGTTTGAAGACAAAAAATGTTGACACTGAAGACGTGCTGTATCTCAGAATTGCCAAGGGTTTTACCAGTCCCAGAATCCTTCCCCAAACTGGGAACGTTGCAGTTGAGAGATGACAGAGCACCTGGTCCAGCCCTTCCCTGTGTTTCACACACACAGGGAGAAACAGAGACCAGAGAGGGTGAGCCACTTGCCCAGGGGCACACAGCTCATAAGTGCTGTGCTAAATTAGAAGCCACACCCTAGGACCCCTGCCAGCTTCACTCCCTGCACTATCTCAACTCCAGAAACCTAAACACACTGAGAACAAGTCCAAAACCCAGTGATTTTCATAATTTCTACAAATCCCATGACGCTGAAGAAGGTGCCGTTTCTGGGGTTGACGTCACAGAGCTGAGAGCTCCAGTGTTTCTTTGCCTTCGCTGGTGAAATGACCAGAGAGAAGGACCTGGGAAGATCCGGCCGCCTGTGCACCTCGTCCCGGGGCTGCTGGGACTCCACAGCAGCGACAAGTGCCCCCGAGTTCACAGCCTGAGTGACCAGGCCCTGAGGCCACCCCACACACACACACACCTGGGCCACGTCGAAGCCACACAAGGTCAGCTGGATTAAAAGCCCTTGTGCAAAAGCATAAAAGTCTTCTCAGAGCCTGTAATGCTGACCAAAAGGCGGCAGGTGCCTACACTTCATTTCAAAGTTTCACGCAGGTATTCCACCTCATTTGGCACATAACTGGGCCTACGTCTTCCATCTCAATGTTTCTCTTCAAAATATCAAACCCTTTACAATAAGTAGTAAGAACGGTTGCACGAGAAAGGAATCAAGGTGCTGTCTGTTTGACATGAAAGAAATGAAGACAATTTTTCTTTGTATCTTGACTTCTACATCAAGATGATTATCTACATGGATAAAAGAACTTAGTCTTATCTCCTACTCAATCAAACAGTGATTTCCATGCACTCAAAAGACAGGAGTTGGCACAGGTGAGAGCCTCGTGCAGACTGACGGGATCAATACACAGCAGAGCCGCGACATAAGCTGAGGAATGGATCTACTGCCCGTCATGTTTCTATTCCCTGTGTCACCCCGGTGACCTGACTCTGCACTAACCAAAGGACCAGGGAGGGTGAGACTTCTCCCCTCACACAAGGTCCCCTACACTCAGAGCCCAGAAAGTGCCCGGCCTTTGGGAGACACAGACCTCGACATCCAGGCACCTGGGCCTCACGGGAGGGCGGGCTGAGGGCCACACACAGAGCTGCAGGGTGGGCAGCACAGGCCCCGAGGAGCCGCCACAGCCCCCTGGCCACTGGCCAGCCAGGAGGAAGGAGCTAGAGGGCAGGGGTGGCTGTAGAGTGCAGGACGCAGCCCATCCTTTCCAAGGTGACCCCTCGATCCAGCCCACCCGCACGCTCTTCTCACAGGGGATGATGGCTCCCCGGATGTCTGCATATGTGCCCTGGTCTCTGGATCCTAAAAACTGGTGATGATGGTGAGGTGAGGCTGTGTTGAAAACAGCAATAATACAGATTCCTCTCTTAGGACTCAGACCTCGGATGCCCGGTGCCAACATGTAAGAAGTCCGGGGACACCAGATGCCCGGCTGGAGGGAGCACAGCGAGAGGCCACGGAGACACTGTGCTGGGCGCCGGGTCCAGCCCCGCTGCCCTCGTGCTCCCAGCCGGGCCGCAGACGTGCGTGTACGCCTCCAGATAATCCATTTGAGCTTCCCCGCCAGACCTGCCCAGACTACAGGTTTATAAGCCAAGTCAACTCCGTTGTTTTGAGCCAGTATGTTTGGACTGGTCCGTTATGCACCTGCCTGGACGGGGCTGCCCCCAGAGCAGGAACCCGCGGCAAGCTCAGCGGTCCCAGCTGGGCAGCAGGCAGCCAGTGGGAAGATGCCTCTGGTCTCCGAAGCAGTTGCTAGCGGGGCTCCGAGGACAGGTGGATGGGGTTCCTGGACAGGGCTCTGGAGGGCAGGGCTCAGCAGCACCGTGGCCACATGATGCTGGAGACGGAGGATGCGCTGGGTGGGCTGGATGATACTGGAGGAGACTTCCAGGCAGGGCCCGGGTGACCCTACTGAGCTCTGTCTCTGTGACGTGATGAGATGAGAGAGGAGAGCGGAAGAAGGAAGGGTTCCGTTTTCAAGTGCGATTTGGAGCAAATATAAAGGAACCAGGACCCACTGGGTTGGAAGATAAAGTTCTTCTCTTTCCCAGCCCTTGCGATACTGTCAAATTAAGATGGGGCCTCAGAGCAAAGATCAATCCAGGTGGCACCATCAGATGCCCTGTTAAGACCTCATAAATATCTGAGGGGACACTAGACACAGGCCCTGGAGGTCCAAGGTAGAGAAAGGACTTATGTGGATTTGTGGATGCAGTTTTTGTCTAGTGGCTTGAATCCCAACAGATCCAGAGAAAACCCACAACATGTTTAAGATAATTGTACGGGAAGAGATTCTGCCAACTTGGAGTAAACGGAACAGATCAGCACAAAGAGAAACCAGGAAAGAGGCTGAGAAAACCACTGAGCTGCAAACACCAGGCATTTCTCAGGAAACAAGAAGGATGACTCGGAGGGCAGAACCTAGAATCCAGAAAGCAGCGCCAAGAGCACTGGAGATCCACCCCCAGGAACAGGAACCCAGCCAGCTGGTGCCCGACTGCACTGCAGGGCCGTCACGGGCCAGAGGTCACCGTGCGCCTCCACTCCCGTCTGAACAGGGCAGTTGCCATGGTTACTTTTACGTGTCAGCTTGGTTGGGCCATAGGACCCAGGTGTTTGGTCAAGTACCAGCCTAGACGTTGCTGTGAAGGCATTTTTAGATGGGATTAATATTCGCCATCAGTAGACTTGGAACAAACAGTTCCCTCTCCGCAGTGACTGGTAAGACTTGCTTCCTGGTTCAGAGACAGCATCTTCTCCCTGGGTCCTCACGTGGGGGAAGGGGAGAGGGAGCTCTCGGGAGTCTGTGTTATGAGGGCACTGATCCCATCATGGGGTTCCACCCTCATGCCTCATCACCTCCCAAAGCCCCCCCTTCCTAATACCATCACCAGGGGATTAAGGTTCAACATGTGAATTTGGAGGAGACCGACATTTACTCCACGGCAAGCACTAAGTTTGTGGGGTTGGTCATTAGACAACCACGCCAACTGGAATGAGCATCCTGTCACCCGTGTTGTGGACTACAGCCCACGGCACTGGGAAGCTACTGGCCGTCCAACATCATAATATCTGTGTCTTTAGATGACCACCCTGACGACTGTAAGAGGAACCGATCAAGGGGGAAGGGCAGCTGTGTGAAGCCCACCTGGAACCACTGCAGTGGGAGCGGGAGGTGACGGTGGCTCAGACAAAGGCAGCAGACTTGGCATCTGTACCAAGGTCCTCATGACTAAGACTTTCCAGGAAACGGTGCTAACAGCATCCAACAGCAGCACAGTGGTTATAAGCTTACAAGACGTTCTGTCCACAACATCCCACGGAACGGGGATCCCTTTGTGATTCAGTACATCTCAGTTCTGTAAAATTAACACACGTCCTACTCCATCAAGGCCTAGAGAGCAAAGCTCCATCAATTTACATAGAGGAAATGCCACAATTAATTAGGAATCAAAATTATATTAAGTTACAAATCAACGGCATGGCCTAGGGGCCCCTCCCGACCTTCCTTCCGTTCTCTGCTGTGCCGAGCCCCTCTGAGCACCATCTCCCCTGGGCCATCCCCTGCCGTCCTCCTTTGCCAGGCCTCATCATCCTTCAGGCCCCAACTCAAAACCCCTTCATCAGATGCCTTCATAGGGGTTTATTCCTTTCATTTAGGCCACTTGTCTGCTTGTTATTACACATGAACTAACATGATTATATTTTTAATGCCTTTCACCTTATTGGAACCTAAGCCGCAGCGGATGGCGGGGGGTGAGGACCTATGCCTGTTTTAGATGCCAGGGCATTCCCAGCACCTAGAACTGTGCCTGACCTGGGGTAGACATTCGACAAATGTTTGTGAAAGAAAGAAACTGGCTTTTAATCGGTCAAATATTGCAGAAGACCTGCAATGGCTTCAGTTTCCAAGGCACTGTTTAATATTCGTTCTGGCAGGAGTTGGGTTGTTGGTAAAAGGCAAACTCCTGGAAGTTTCTGCTGTATTCCAAAGGTCATTGCTCATTGTTAACTATGTCCCAAAGAGGTACAGGTGCCAACACTATGCTTTCAGCATAATTACAATAAATCCAAGAGAAAAAACTGAAATCAAGGCCACAGTGGAGACACTAATCCCTTGAACTCCTCAGAAAAGCAGATTTGTCCTGAGTCACCAGGGGAAGATGTGCAAAATGACGGGGCTGGTTTCTGGTCTGCACACTGACGGCCTCTCTGGGCACCTCTAAGGTCAACCCCACATCTGTCCTCCTGGGTCACGAAGGCTTGGAGGTAGGGAGGCCGAAGGGCATTACAGCTGCCTAAGTAATTCCAGCTTCACTGCAGAGCTATGATTATGGACAATTTATGCTGTCGGCGTTTAGAAAAAAACTGAAATAGGATCCCAGATGGAGGCCCCACAGCACAGAGGGCCCCCCAGTTTCAGTACAGGGACAAAAGTGGACTAAAAAGAGGCCTCCTGCCTTCCCGCTGACAACGTGGCTACTTGTATCAGAACATATGGAAATGAAATCAAGCACTGGCGACTGCCAGGAAAGATGTTCAGAGATGAGGTTCCAGATCCTTCTGTTCTGCCAGGGCTGGAGCCAGCAGCAGGCAAAGTCCTCTGCAGGTGAAGGAGGGCCCGCCCTAAGGAATGCCCAGACACTAGGACAGCAAGATGACCACACAAAGCCAGGCTGCCCCAACAGCTCAGTCCCGATCTAGGATGGACACTTAACTGTTCTCTCCCCTCCTCCCAAGCCCAAGACTGCCTTAAATCCTGTAAGCAAAATCTTTGAGCTATTTTCATTGTGTTCTGATTATTTTATCAGCAATGCCTGTGCAATTGACATTAAAAGCTGGAAAGACTTTCTTTCTTTAAAATTTTGCTTTGTTAGGCCCCAAAGGGAGAGTTGTAATGCCAGTTACCAGAAGTGTGCATTCCCTGGGCTGTCCCTGGGCAAATCTGAGTGCGATGGAGAGCTTCCTTCTGCGTTTCATGGGTGGGGAGGGGGGAGGGTTCTAACAATAGGACCCCATTAGCTGGGGATAAAAGGCCAAAGGGCAACATCGGCGTCCATTAAGGGTCCTAATTAGAGGCTGCCAACTGTTGGTAGATGGGGACTGGAGGAAGGCGACAACAGGCCAGGCACAGACTGAACTGGCCCCTCCACTGCGGGCAGCGCAGGGGCTTAAAAACCTGACGGTAAAGCGCCTTCAGTGCTTTGAGCGAAATAAAGCTTATTACATTGATTTGTTCTTTTTCTTTCCCTTACAACAGATGTGAGGGTGGGTGGAGACAAAGGATGTGGTTCTGTAGGAACCGAAGAAGTGGTAGAATTTTTTAAAACCTTCCTTTTTTAACGTTACAGGCGCAGCCCCCCGAGGGAGGCTGGGGTCCCCCAGCACGAGCGCGGGTCGGGGGTGGGAGGCTTGCTGCGGAAATGCATGTAACCTCCCCGCCGGCCGTGTCAGCCGGTTCCACGCAGTCTTTATTTAAATGTTGTTCCTTTTCGTACCCCCTCGCCCCCGCGCCATCATGCTGTCAGGCACGTTCAAACCTGAGCAACAAGCACTGCTGGTGGGCCGTCTGGTCGGTCAGTGGGGCAAAGCCTCCGTGAAAAGAAAGCACACGCTGTGCACCAGCCCCCGGCACCCCACGAGCCCTCAGCAATCCCGGCAGCATAAGCAGCGGACCCTGGGGGTCGCGAGGGTCCCGGCCGGCGGGCATCGGAGGAGAGAGCAAGAGGTGCCTCCGCATCTTCCTCCCCTCCCCCGGGGACCAGGTCCGGCAGGGACCTCCCACCCGCTTCCTGTGCCCCGCGGGATCGACGCTCCAGAGGCAGCGCGGCCCGGCCACGACCGTCCGCGAGGCAGGGCCCGGGCAGCCCGGCACCGAGCCCAGACACCCCTCGGAAGGGGGAAGCGGCCGGGCCCGCCATCCTACAGCGTGGCCGCGAGCCCCGGGCCGCCTGCCCAAGGAGCGCTCAGCCTGGGCAGCGGGGCGCGGACGCGGGGTGCGGCTCCTCCCCGCTGGGCTCCGGGCCGCTCCGCCCCCGGGTTGGCTCCGGCTGGGCTGGGCGCACGGAGGCGCGACTGGCGGCGGAAAAGACAGTGGCCACGCCGCCCCCGGGGCTGGGTCCTCGGAGGCGGTCACCGCGGGCACAGCGCGGGGGCTGGCCGTCACCCGCTTCCGGCAGGAGCGCCCTAGGGAGTCCCCGCGCCGCGGCCCCCTCCTCCACGCGGCGCCCGGGAGCGGGACGGAGGTCCGCCCACCCCGTTCCCCACAGCCCCGCCGCGGGCGGGGCCACCCCCGGCCCCCGCCCCCGCTCCGGCGGCCACCCCCGTCTCGACCAGCGCCCACCCCGGGACCCCCGCCCGCTTATCCTCCGCCTCCTGGGGCGTCTCGCCACTGCCTCCCCCCCTTCGGGGCCCAGCCCTACCTCTCAGCTCTGCGCCTCGCCCTCCACCCCGGCGCCCACCCAAGCCCGGGACCCGGAACCCTCGCCAGGGTCTCCGACGCGCATGCGCGGGGCTCTTCCCGCGCACCTGTGAGAACGCCCGTGGGCGGGGCGGCCGCCTTCCGCGCACCTGTGCGAGCGCCCGCGGGTTCCCGAGCATCTTCCCGCGCGGCCAGGCCCGGCCCGACGAGTGCCCCCTGCGCCCCCGGCCTGCCTTGGCGGCAGCGGGCCCGACACTCACCGCGTCCGTGGAGGCCGCGCCTGGAGCCCCGCCGCTCCGAGCAGCGCGCCGAGGCGGGGACGCGGGGACGTGGGCGGGAGGGCGGCCGCAGCCCCCGGCAGGGCGCGCAGGCTCCGGACTGGAGCGCGCCGGCGCGGCCCCGAGTCCAGGTCAGCCCGCCCCGCGCCCTCCGCTCGCTTAACCCTTTCCAGGCGCAGGGAGGTCCCGCGGACACCCGGCTCGAGGCGGGGGAGCGGCGCCCACCGCAGGCGCATCCGTGCGCGCACGGGAGGGACGCGGGCTGCGCGCTGGACCCTGTGGCACCTCGTAGATGCTGAGCTTTAATCCAGCAACGCCCCAACAAGGAGCGAGGAACAGGTTACCGCCAGCGCTCTAGGCTTTGCCAGCTCTCTTTTGTGTCCTAGCCCCCGCCCCCCCCAAAAAACCATGAAATAATGTAATTTAGTGTTTATGATTTGGAAAATTAGGGGCGATGCATTGTTGAAATATTTTAGTGGTTAAGAAAACTGCCTACATCCTTACAGACTCCAGAACAAAAAGGAAAACATTCAGAACACCCAAGTAGAGGAAGCGCTGAAACTTGTTCTTGTATCTGGAGACGGGGCCCCCACCAGCTCCAGGTCCCTGCAGCGGGATCGGGACGCAGGACGACGAGGGACCGCCCGAACCTCGAGCCACGATAAGGAGCAAGATCCCCAAAGACCTGACAGCGGAGAGGGACGAAGTGCCCTCCGACCTGGGCTGCTTTCTGTTCCTGCGCACAGCTGCTTCCTGCCGGGTCAGCTCCAGTTAAGACTGGACCCCTGATGGTAAATGCTATTTTTAAAGGTTTCGTGAAAAAGTGATTAAATTTCCATAGGCACAGAGAGGCTGAGCCTTTACTTCTTTTTCTTTTTAAAAATTTTGCCTTCAACAGTCTCTGCCAGTTAAATGTTATGGGCCCTTTGGTTTTCAGTACCAGAGTTAATACCCTGAGAACGTCCTTAAAAATATCTTTGTTTACTTGCTAAGTAGAATACATCAAGATTTGGGTTAAAGGAAGCAGAAACTGAGCAAACTATCGGGAAATAACTTTTTTAAATGATCAGTTAGGGACTTCCCTGGCAGTCCAGTGGTTAAGACTCCGCCCTTCCAATGCAGAGGGCATGGGTTCCATCCCTGATGGGGGAATGAAGATCCCACATGCTGGGTGGCCAAATAAATAAATAAAATAAAATAAAAATATCAGTTAACTCTAGCGGAAACAGACCTTTTGGAGGCTGAAATAATTCCCATCATGTGCCATTTTTATTTTACCCATTGTATGTCAGAAATAGTTTAGAATCTACTGGGATATTTTCAATGCATCTCTGTTTACCTTTTTACATGGAGACCGCATGTAACTAGCCTACCCTACACCATGATTTAAAGATGTCTGGAGGGGAGTTTAAATGCATTTCCCCAGCACCCGTGCCATCTTTTCAAGAGATACATTGCGCTGGCCCACAGCATCAGGGCTTCATCTGGCCTCCCCGCCCACCTTTGTGGATAAGCCTCCAGTGACCACCCAGCTTTCCCCAGTCACAGGTGCTGTCCCCACAGAGGTCCTGGTCTGTCCTCTCCACCACTCTGCCAGCTTCCAGTGATGTGCTAATAAGTCATATTTAACTTCTCTTCCCACTGGATTTTACAGTGCTTGGCAGATACTAAGTTCTCAATAAATATTTATTGAAGGAATGGAAAAATAAATGAATTAACTTAAAACATCCATGCAACCTCTACACCACCTAGTAGAGGAGTGTGGTGAACCCCATTTATTTTCAGACTTTAGATGTTTTATTTTTAAAACTGCACTCTGGCCCCAATATGGTTAATGGAAATTGCTGAGGAACATGACATTTAATTAGGAGTTCATTCAAATGCCAGGGACCTATAGATTTCCTGAAATTGAAGCTGGGGTATAAAAATGCCAAGAAGAAGGACTAGCTATCTTAAATATTTTTTAAAAAAACATCCATTTCAAGCGTATTTCAAGGAAACTGTTTTACTGTTTAAATCCTCCACAGCTCAGGGAGAGCCTGCTCGTGCACGGTAGACTTGAAGCGTGCAAACATATCACCACGCAAAACTGTGCCCAAAAAATAGAACCGAAGCTCATGGAATCATCCTGAGCGTGATGGTTTACAGGCCCCTGAACGCAGAGTCTGGGGACCCGGGTTCCAGGTTCGGGGGACTCTGAACCACATTTGGAAGCTGCCTGGAGCAGTGGAGAGAGCAAACCTTTGGAATTCGGCCGGCTGGATTTCCAACAACAATTTCACCACTCCAAGTCCTGTGCATTTTGGACAAGACACTGTGCCCACTGTCCTTCTGTGTAAAGAGGTGGTATGGCTGCCCTCCCCACGGGACAGACCGAGACGATGGGCACAATGCATTTCGTGCCTCGGGTGTTAATCTTGGGGGAGCACCACTCACACTTGTCGCTTCTGTCACTGCCCCCCTGGGTGACCTCCAGCAAATATTTTTACCTCCCCAGTTGTGTCCCCCATAGAGTTTGCACCGTGCGCACAAGAGGGATGGCTGGTTAGTCGCAGCTGCTTGTTCCGAGCCCCGTTAGGACCCTGGATGGTGTTTTCCTCCGTGTGCTAGTGCCAGATAACAGATCATTTCCCCAAAGTGTTAACGGCTCATAAGAGTTCATGCACCACCCCACTCAGCCTTCCAAAAGGAAAAAAAAAAAAAAAGCAATTAAATTCCAGTAGCTGTCAGGAATTGATCCAACTGCTACAAAGCACTTTGAGTCTCTTGGCTTGAAAAATTAATTAGAATATCTGTGTGTTGTCGTGGAAACCGCATTCCCTGGTTCATTCTATCCATTTTGTACAAAAGGAAATCCCTCGTCCCCCCAGTGCCCCCCTATATTCACCCAAGCCCAGCCTGCCTACTCTCTTCAGCTCTGATGAACTCTGGGTGCGTCTGCATCCTTTCGTAAGCTACTCCTGAAATATTGGAAGCTCTTTTTCTCATGTCTGAGTGTTTCCAAGTATCTTATAAGCCGGTGCCTGAGAACCCTGTGCTCAGAATAGAGGATGCTGCCCAGCTCTCTGGAACATCACGGACTCCGGACTGCCAACGGTGGACATAGATGGGACCGTGCAGCGGTCGTGTCAGCGCAAACATTTCATATCATACACAGTCCCTGGTCCAAGCTAATGCCTTAGTTACCCTGATTGGAACAGGACAACAGAGGCCTGTCTCTTTAGCCTCATGCAACGGCCAGCACTGTGATGGGGCGAAGTCATCCTCAGTCACTGCCGAATCAGTGATCCAGTGATGCCTCTTTGGGCTGAGCGCCACTCTCTATTGCGCTGCACCGCGGTCTGCGTGGACTACGTCAGGTGGTCCTGCACGCACTTTTCCTCAGCAGACTGCAAGCTACCAGGAGGCGACAAATTCTCGTCAATGAGTCAATATTACCATCATTAAATGGCCAATAAGTTTATTAGTATCGATCCTAGTAAGTCTTCTTTTGGAAAAGTAACAAAAATTTGATAGTTATTTTAAAGTATTTTCAAGGTATGCATTTATAAAGTTAGAACAAGTTATCTGCAATTAAATATGACTTCACAGAAGTCTCTATATAGTGTATCTATAGGTAAGTGTAGGCAGAGTTCTGCAAAGTACTAGGTGTAGACACACACACACGCACACGCAGGACCCCAGGAGGAGGGGCCTCCTCCCATTTGACAGCTGAGGAGATTTAACTCTCAAAGGGTGTAATGTAACTCTTCCATTCTGTGTGAGGTGGCGCAGGAATTCCAGCCCAACCCCGAAGCCCTTGCTTATATTCACAGTGAAACACTGTCCTTCCAAATGAATGAATGACTCCACGCTTCAGAGAGCAAATCCAGAAGGCTTATGAGCACGAGAACCATCCTCCTTGTACCAGGAGTCCGTGCGTTAAAAATAAAATTGGTATCCCAGTGCACCTTGTTGCTTCTTTTTACCACACGGACTTCCGCCCCGAGCCCAAAAACGCTTTGTGCTGTGAGTTAAAGGGGAACCTGCAAGCTTACACTGCCCTTGGCGGGAGGGGTGCTGCATATGCGTCTTGAGAGGAGTCTTGCCCTAGATGTCATTCGGTTCGAGACTCCTACTTCAGACAGGGAACCTGGAGGAAGTTTCCACACAGGAACGTCATGATGCTTGCCCGTAACTCTAGTAGGAGACAGAGTGGGACAAAAGATGCTCCGGCCAAGGGGCCAGCACAGCCTGCAAACCTGGTGCTCATGCCGGTGGGGCTGGAGGACCCCAGGACTCGGGCCATTGCTGTTATGCCAGAAAGGGGGTCCCCAGAACCTGGGTAGGTCTTGTCGTCAAATAATTCTGTTCTCAATCACATTGCTGTCAGCTAGTAAGGGATATGAGTGATGGCTTTGATGACCTGCAAGGTTACACAGGACAGAAATCCAAATCAGAAGGTATGCACTTGTTACTGAGCGCCCCGCTGATAATACAGTGACTGCAGAACAGTTTTAATTTTTCAAGTCATCTTTACATAGTAAAGGCCTAACTAGTAAATCCTTCAAAGTATAAACTAAATAAGCACCGCTAACTGATAGTACATTCTGGTTAACCCCAATTTAAAGGTTCTTACAGGTGAACTGTGTCCCTCTCCCCCCAAAAAAATAATGTTGGAGTCCTAACCCCCAGGACCTCAGAACGTGACCTTATTTGCAGATGGAGACTTTCTGAAGGGAGCCAAGTTAAAATGAGGTCCTTACGGTGGGTCCTGATTCAATAGGACCAGTGTTCTTATAAAAAGAGGAGATTCAGGCACACAACAGACACACGCAGAGGGAAGCCATGTGAAGCCTAAGACAGATCTGAGTGGTGTGGCCACAACCAAGGGATCAGGGACACCAAGGATGCCAGCGAACGCCAGCCCCTGGAAGAGGCAGACAGGACCCTCCCCTGGACCTTCAGAGGGAACATAGCCCTGTGACACCTTGACCTCAGACTTCTGCCCCAGGCTGGGAGAGGATACATTTCTGTTGTCTTAGCCCCTGTTTGGGGTGCTTTGTTCCAGCAGCCTTGAAACTAATACAGAGGTTTTGTGTCTTCTCTACATAAGCACTGCTTTGCAAACTGTCTGTTGTAATGAATCAGTTATTTTTTTTCTGTTTTCAATCTATTATAGACTGACCTTTCCAAAATACGGTAAAAATGAATTGCTAGAAAAAGAAAATGTCTTAAATGACATGCAAAATGCAAAGCCATGTTCTTAGTGTTCAGTTAGACACACAATCATTCTGTCCCACTGCTGTACACGTTTCCACACACTGCTTTCAGTTTTCGTCCTGGCAGGGGGTCGGCACACGGGCAGTGGGCCACATGCTGCCTTAGCAGGCCAGCTCCAAGGACGCCTGGTGATGGTGAGCGGGCAATTGTCCCTGGGAAGCTGACGCTCTTTCACGCCCCTGCTAAGACCACAGCACACAGGGTGGGTATTTCCCTGTCTTTCCAAACAATGTCTTATTGTGGAATTAAGCAATGCACCTGTGAAAAATTAGTTGGGGGTTGGCGGTTAAAATGTTTGAAAATGGGCTCTAAACTACTTCCAATAAATCTACATGGAAATCTAACAGCCGGCCAGGCGGGCCTCTCTCTCCTGCTGATCTGGGATTCAAATGGGCGCCAGGAAAACACTTTTGAAAAACCGCTAACATCAAACTTGTAGGGCCTCTCTCTTTGAAACCCCCAGGCCTTCTTCCAGGAGGTGGGGACGCCCTTGATGTGTTTACAAGAGTGCTGGACACGGATTAGTTGCTGCTTCCCTCAGGCCCCCAGCTTCTGCTCTCAGCCTCCTGGGAAGCAGGCCGGCAGTTTTTGCGGGGGAAGGATGGGCCCCCCCCAACCGGGGACAGTTGCGGGCGCCAGGAGTGTGTCCCAGCAGCCACTTCCCCTCTGCCACCCCACCTCCACCCAGCGGTTTGTTCTGCAGCAGAAGGTCCAGGTGGCAGAAAGAAGGGAGGGCCGGCTGGGCTGGGGCTCCCTCAGACCTCAGGGCCCCCAGCCCATCTCCTGCTGTGTCTCCCCCCTACCCCGGGGGTCCTGTGGCCTCGAGGTCTGAGGCTACAAGGGCAGAGGACTCGGTTGGTGGGAGGGGATGCAGGACGGCTCCTCCGCTCACCATCCTGGATAAACAGATAAAGGCCACCCTTTCCTGCCGCCCCGAAGGTGACAGTGCCACCCAGCCTGGCCTGTTCTTCCTGGAAACCCCCCGTAATCCTGTACGTGCCTCTGCACGCTTCCAGCAAGGCCCTGTCAGGTGCTTTCGAAGCCATCAGATAAACTCCTTGTTTATCTGAACTTTCAATACAGAAAAGAGAATTAATCTCGGGGGGGGCGGGGGGAGAAGGGCCGGCCTCGCCCTCATCCCCACCCCCCGTCCTCCACCCCCAGGGAGCATCTCCCAGGCCTCATGGCCCTTCTGCAGTCACCACTTCTCCCAGCGGGACCACCACCCCAGGGCTCAGCTACCCTTCTCCCAGCTCTGCTCAAGGCCTGCCCCCTCAGTGAAGCCGCTTCTGGGGGCTTCCCACCCGCTCTGTGCCCACACCTCTGTTCAGAGCTTCAGTGCTGTGCTGGTGCGCTGGCCCAAAGCTATCTGGTTCCGGGTCCGTCCTCCCACCAAGGTCTCCTCTGCAAACCCAGCTCCCAGCACACAGGTGCTGCGTGGACAACACTTTTTTTTTTTTTTTCCTTTTTTGCGGTACGCGGGCCTCTCACTGTTGTGGCCTCTCCCGTTGCGGAGCACAGGTTCCGGATGCGCAGGCTCAGCGGCCATGGCTCACGGGCCCAGCCGCTCCGTGGCATGTGGGATCCTCCCGGACCGGGGCACGAACCCATGTCCCCTGCATCGGCAGGCGGACTCCCAACCACTGCGCCACCAGGGAAGCCCGGACAACACTTTTTAAACCGTGTTTGTATCTGCATATTTACATCACGCCCTGTCTTTGTCGGCTCGGGCTGTGGTGAAATACAGCTGTTTCTCTTCGTCCTTTCTCACGGTCCTGGCGGCCAGGACCAGGGTCCTGGAGGTCTGGAGGTCTGGACGGCACCCTCTCCCTGTGTCCTCACTCGGCAGCAGCCAGCACACTCTGGGTGTCGTCCTCTTCCTCTAAGGACACAAATCCCATCACGGGCCCCCCCTCATGACTTCACCACCTTCCTGAGCGCCCCCCTCCTGACACCATCCCACTGGGGTACGGACTGGGGGACACACACAGGCCATAGCTCAGCCTTAGAGAAGAGCTGAAGGTCGTACACCATATAGGACCATCTCTGCCTGAGTATTTCGTTCTCTGTGCTTTTTCTTATCTCCTCCTGAAAGTATGTGGTTTTGCTTTTATCACTGGAAAGAAACAGGAAATGTGCTTATTTTCGACAGGTTTGTTTGGAGAATAAGCCCCACGGGAACGCTGCTGAGCGTCCAGCCCCTCGGCTGTCACCGGTCCCCGAATCAGCCGCCAGTCAGCAGGCCTTGCCTTACGCCCCGTCTAGGAACCCCTCCTCCGGTCCTGCTGTCGAGCAAGGCCTCCCCCTGCCCAAGACAGCAGCCAGCCTGCCCTTAGGCCCCCCAGGAACTGGAGAGTCCATCAAAGGACTCACTGGGATCTGACCGGCCCTCCGGGATCTCCCTGCGGGTGAAACGCAGCAGGTGGGGCTGCGGCGCTGAGGGGCTGGGGGTTCGGGCACCTGGGCGAGCTTCCTGATCACACCTCCCGTCTCAGGGACCTCAGCCTGCATCCGGGTTCTGGCCTTGTCCTCGGGCACCGGACATGGGCAGGGCCGAGGGGAGCTGTGTGTGCCCGGGGGAGGGGCTGGATGCCCTCGGGGTGTCCTGCTGCCCTGGGGCCCCCCACCCCCTCACTCGCTGCAGAAGGCAGGAGGGTAGGGAACGTTTCCCAAGCCTGGAAAGACCCCGGCCCACGGCCCACGTTAGCAGAGATCAAGTGAGCCGCCCCAGGCGCACCTGTACCCACGGGTGAAAGCAGCCTCCCATCCTCACTCTTCCACCCGGGCCTAAGGAGGACACCTCGGACAACGTTTCCTGGTGACAGGCCTCCCTCCACACTGGCGGGCTTCTGTTCTCAGCAACGGTGCAAAATGGGGGTGGGGGCTTCCCCAGACTCCCCGGAGACCGGCCCAGTGTGGCCCCGCTGACTGCCCCTCCATGGTGTCTATTCCTATGGAAACGGAACTTTTTCTTTAGTCTACAGGACTGTATGGTTCCCTGTGGCTGCTCAGACAAACTGCCATGAATTCAGTGGCTTAAAACAAGATAAATCTATGCTTTACAGTTCTATAGGTTAGAAACCCAACGCGGGTCTCATCGGGCTGAAATCCACATGTCAGCAGGGCCAGTTCTGCTTGGAGAGTCTCGGGAGAATCCGTGTCCTTGCTTTTCCAGCATCTAGAAGGGCCTGTAGCACCTCCATCCGTATCAAAGCTGGCAGGCAGCACCTTCAAAGCTCTCTCTGACCTGTTCTGTCATCAGGTCTCCTTCTCTGGCCCCGACCCTCCCACCTCTCTCCTATAAGGACCCCTGTGATGACACAGGACAACCAGATGGCCCAGGATCAAATTCTCATCCCAAGATCTGTAATTAGTTGCAGTTGCAAAGTACCTTTTGCCACACAAGGTAACATATTCACAGTAGTGGATGACGAGAATGTGGACACCTTTGGGGCCATCATTCATCCAGCACGACAAGTTACTGAGATGGGGCTTGTTCAAGAAGTGAAGTGAACAGCCCAGTGGGGACAGCACGTCAGCCAGGTCGGGGAGAGGCCCACCTGCCCTGAACACCCAGCACAGGGCCTGGCCCACTGCACACAAACACCACGTATGTGTTGAAAGGGTGAAAACATCTAAATAGAGGAGAAACTGATGGGCTCATGAGAATAATCGTGAATT